ATATATATATATATATAAAATATATTATACATTTTTAATGTTTAATTTATTTAATTAATCGAAATTTTCTAAATTTTTAAACTTTCTCATATTTTTGATTACATCTTTTATTGTTAACAGAATTATTTTTATGTGGTAACAAAAGCAAGTTTTTTTTTTCCTAAATTTGTAATAAAATGCTCTCTACTAATTGTAAGTCTTAAACTTATCACTTTTGTCTAATTTCTATTAATTCTTTGCCTACTTATATAATTTTTCAACGTATAATTTTTTATCTTTTCTTCTACGATGAGAGAATGGAGTTGTGGAATGCGAGTCGGTGTCGCATGCACGAGTGCGTTTGCCGTTTGCAAACGTAATTATACCGATGACAGTCGGAACGAACATACGTAATCTCAGCATGCATGTATGTATGTATTTATTTACGTGTACACACACATACAACGGAAATGTTGGTACAGGTGCGCGATGTTCCATGGCACCTTCGTGGAACGTTGGAATTACATTTCGTTATAATCACGTGGTGAGAACGCATGTAAAGGTTGTTGTTGGTCTATTCAATCTCACATTATTGTTTTACCTTCCTAGAATGATTCTCACTTCATTAATTCAACGATACTTTTGAAGACATTGTTATCAAAAGAATAGAATAAAATGGAACGTTACTTGTTCATTAAATTTTTGTGACTCTTATTTTAGCATGTATTTTTTTATTTTTACACACATTTTCTAAATTTTCTCAATCTTATTTATAATACTGAAATGTACACATAACATAATTCTTTATGAAATTCAAAGTCTTGCTTTATTGATATTATTTTGATACATTTTGAGACAGGAAAGTGACATTATGAACATGATGACGGAAGCGCAATGATTGCAGTTCTGATGGCGCCCTATTTCCGTGACGATATGTAATTATCAAAGATAGCACTTAGAATTGCGTATTTAATAAAACTTAAACAAAATTTTATTTTACTTTTGTTATATTACATTTATTGGGTTAAGCTCATTTAATATGATCTATAATTCACGATAGAATTCGAAATATAATTCTATTTATAATTTTATGTATCAAATTATATATACTATACACAATGTCTTCAAGCGTTAATAAGTACATTGAAAATGAAAAAAAAAAGGGTTTTACTTGTAGCTTTATTTGTAATTATTCATAGGTTAAAAAAATGCAAATGAAATCGTAGCTGACAATTTTTCCAAAATATCTCAAAATTAAATTTTCTAATATTTGTAGACCATATAAAACCATGAAATGTTATGTTGGATCATATTACATATAAGGTGTATGTGTGCGTTATTATATATACTTTATGTACGTAACAAAGTTATACATACTCGTATACAATTCTAATTAAATTGGCAAATATACTACCATTTTTTCAGTTTATTCCAGAATCAACGCCGCAGACGCGGTAAGATGATCTTATTTTTGTTTTATTGAAAAAAATAAAAGGAATATAGAGCCACAATGCTAAGTTTATTTTGCAATAAGTCTTGTATTTAAAATATTGTAATTCAGTTAATAATATAATCATAAACGTTTCAAAAGATGGCTAAAATTGGGCCATCTTCAGTATATTATATGTAATAAAAAATTAAAGTATAAATTAATCAAAAATAAAATGTCAAGATGATAAAATATTCATAAACAAAATTGGTGCATGATAAAATAAAACATTAATAAATTAGCTTATATTGCTAGTTAAACAAAGTAAATAAATAACGCTATTTAATAAAGTGTGTAGCACAGAATTTTTGTTCGAATTTACAGTTATATTGCGGATTCTTTTAAGTTAAAATTTGTTTCTTGTTAGTAACTAGTACAAGAGAGTCTCAACTGTTAATATAAATAATTGTGATTCAACAAAGTGTCAGAAGAGATAGTTATAATAAAATTTAGAATTATTATATGATTATTTTAATATTATTAACCCGTATTTAGCACAATAGTACATCCAGGATACTTTAGATTCCTTGCCAATAACAAGATGTTTTGTAGGAGAGATGGAAAATATCTCTAAATAGTCTAGAGGAATGTGTATATTTATCTGAATCGTAAAAAATTTTGGCAAAGTATTTATTAAAATAAGGGAGAGTGAGATGAATGATAAAAGTGGAAGAGTGAAATGAGTTAAAAGGGGATATCGTTGGACAGTATCGAAAGATAAATGTCAGATAATTGTTTCGCTTTGTTTGTTTAATTCAAACTTTTGTTTTTTGATATATATCATTTCCGATATCATGCGTTTATAAAAAGATGGTTCTGAATCAATGATATGAACATTATCCCAGTCTAATCTATGATTATTTTTTAACTGATGATAGCAGGAAACCACGGATAAAAAACAAGTAGATTTTTAAATATTAGCTATGCGTGCTCTTTTATTCGAGTTTCAAGTTTCTTCTTAGTTTGACCAACACACGACAATCTTAGCAATTTATTTTATATTCTATTTCACATTGATTCATAATATCTAGTTGATCTTTTTCTGTTTTTCAGAGAGAGTTCATAGGTTTATAAGCTGTGTTAAAGTCAAATTTGTTTAAGGTAGTTTTGAATTGTTCCGAAATGTCTTTTAAATATGAAACAGTAAAAAATTTGTTTGTGTCACATACAGTATCGTTACTGTGTCTATTATTTATATTATACTTAGATTTTTTGGTAAATATGCAGTGTAAGGGACTACCCTACAATAACCTTAACCTTAATATATTGTATGTTGTCCAGGTTATGTCCTTGAGTGATTGTGAATAAATTTTATCCGTCACTTGTTATTCATTAAAAAATTATTAATAAAAAAAGTATCATAAATTTATATAATTTTTTTACTCTATATACCATATAGACTATGATTCTTTGTAAATCGTGCTGAAGGTATTTATATACTACATAACAAAAAAATTACTAAGTAAATTGTAAATGGTTTTAAGGCAAAACAATACGCTTCGTAAAATTTACATTTTAATACAGATTAGTTATCGTTGTATTACTATATTTTGGTACATATAATTTCCAGGAATTATTATTTTCTAAATTAATTTTTGTATAGAATTAAAAAAACTGCACTATCAAAGTACATATGTTATGTATAAATATACATCTCTCATCTATTTTCGTCTTCTTTTAATTATGAGAATTTGAACTCTCCGTCGCATCTATCTGTTGTTGCCGTGTTTTGTTCGCTTTTGAGCGATTTTAGTGGTGTTTAAAAAAAATAAGAACATTATCGGACATTGCTTATTAATTACTATACTGCTTGATAAAATTATTATGAGTTACTAAGTTGCAGATTAAAAATATCATGTCATTATAAAGTTCATAAGATAGTTTACCTATATAAGATAGAACTGGAAAGGATGCGGACAGGAGTAAGGCGCAGAAGATGTCGCGCAAATAATGTACCTATGAAGTGTGAAACTTCTTTATTCATTAAAACGCACTTACATGTTTCGACTCACTTTTGAGCTTTCCTCAGAGACAACATGAACTATATAAAAACTGTGAATAAAAGTTATTCTGTCATAGCTCCCCTACATCAAGAATTTAAATGTCGGAATTAAAACCAAAAAGAGTGAAAGAAAAAGGAAAAAGAAAAAAGGAAAGAAATTAAAAAGTATCGTAAAATAGAAGGAGAATGATTTATCAAACAACTTTAAGATTATAATTAATTATCCAAATATAAGGACGCTTACCACGCTCACATAACATATCGCAAACATTACTACAAAAATAATTCAAGATTTGGCTCTTGATAATATTGGCCAGTCAGTATCAAACATAGTGAGTTACTTTTTATTTTTTAGCTAGCAATTTTCCGAGATAACAAAGGGAAAAATGTAACATTAAAGCGTTAATCAATTACAAGAACAAGAAAGTTGGAAAGTAATCGATAAACACGCCAGAAAGACTCATTACTGCGTACGAACGACACTGACTGACTAGACATGACAACAACACAAACCTTTATAACTTATCTATGATCGGGAGATAGGCTTTGGGAAGTTCCTTCATATCCGTCTGCAGGTTGAGTCCATGCGTTTCTCCTGATAAATATCATCTCCAAATTCAATCCTGTAGTGAGGCTCCTCATCCAGTATTGTCCCAATTGAAATCATAACCTTCTTGTAACCGATGCTTGGTAATGACATTACGAATAGACGTGTTCCATCGGATGTGGTTCTTATGCTCCGTAATTTTTGACCTCAGCTGTCTATACATCTGTTCCACATAACTTGCATCTCAATTCTTACACGAGATCTTATAAACAACATTCGACTTCTTGTCACCCGGTAAAGGATCTTTATGCACCCTAATAAAAATTCTCATAATTTATTAGTACTATAAAACGATATCTTCATACGCTCGCTATTCAATCTACTAAATTTCTCAGTAATACCATGAACGAAAGGAAAAGTGGACCACAAAGGCTGCACTACTTCAACTCTATTGTCATTAACAACACTTTTCCTATTCTAAAAAATAATAAATCAAATGCCAATTTCAGTCAACACTTAATGTTATTAGTTGTATATTTTTATACCATTTATTCAAAGTGAATATTAAATGTATACGTTTCGATCTACAGTCAAGGTCCTCTTCAGTACGAAAATTTAAGACGGAATCCAGTAAATAAAATTATTACTGAATTAAAATTATTATTTAAGGGTTGGAAGCATTACGGATACCTTTC